TTCGGTATCCGGTGCGGTCATTCAATCCCTTTCACCCGCCTTCTCAAACGAAATGAAAGGTATGCAAGTATCAGTCCATATCCCAGAAAATGTGCTAAGCCGGCTTCTGCCATGTAATTTGAACTGAATCAATTACAGGTTAACATATATTTAAGAAAGCTAACTGGATCTCTTCAACATACTATATATACTCACACAAAAATTAATTTCTTAAGGTATAGAATGATCTGATTAATCAATCTTTGTGTTCACATATTAATATGTGTGCACTTATAGTTAAACTATAGTAGACCAAGAGGATTCTTATGTTGCTCTTCTGTGAGATTTACCTACAGCTCACATGATTACATATTTTTGCACAAAATGAAGGTCAGCCCAACAATACTCTATCGGAAGATAGATAAGAAATCATTCACACAGAAATGCCTCACAGTGCTATTCCCACTAATTCAAATGCCTCTCTAAAAGCTAGTGTCTTTCTAATTCGCATCGAGTTATTCAGAGAAGGTCATTTAAGCTCAAAAATGAAATTAATATGGCATTTATACTTATAGTATAAGTATACTAGAGTCGAAGGGCTATTTTTTATTGAATTCATGGCCAGATTTTCCTGCATGAATTAAAGAGAGCACGAAAGTTCATTCTTTCACGCATCCCGAGGGTGCCGTTCTCCCTCAGCTTTGATGCCATCTTCTAACTCGCTTCTCGATTTCGTCCGCATCTCCAGTGGCATTCAACCAACGGACGTGCAAGTTGTGGGGTAAAACAAGTTTCTTTCTACGCTACATTAGCCTTTAGATATTGTGATACACTTTAGGTATTGTTTTTAAAGCAAAGCAATTCGCGCTATCGAATCACATTATTTTAAGTTAAATTTTATGTGTATATTCAGCCGTTATTTCTCAACGATGCAATGCACTACTGATTTGGTAGGTAGTAGTAAATTTGTTCTGATAGTTATAAAATTGTGCCAATTTCGACTGGCTTTCATATTATTACTAATTAAAGGGAATACTTGACCGAAATTTCATACTATCGATGGGGTCGAAGCCGTTGCCAAGTGTGGAGAAGTACCGCCATTTTGGATTCATTGCGAATTGAAATCCAAAGCAAAAATTAGGCTTTCTCTCCAACTAGTCTCTGGTAAGGTCTCTATTAGTATCGTTTAGATGGGTACAACTCGACTACAATGAGAAATAATATTAGTCCTTCTACACAGCCCGAAACAGCACTTCAACTTATACACATTTCCACTAGACTCAACAAATGTGAAAGTTGAATGGATTATCAAAAGAACTTGAAATAGTTCAAATCACCCTGAAATGAAGTTGAATTCTAAGTATTTGTGAGTTGTGGGTCGAATATTGATGCAAGTTTTCCTATATACTCCGTTTTTGACTCTATATTTCTCCTATAGCCTATTTTACACAGCCTAAGTTGCTGAAACCTTGCATTCCTAGCCTATTTCTCCAAATTTTGCGAAACACCCACCTTTCTCTGCTGTTTTGACTTATAGATGAATCAGCAACCGAATTGTGCAAGACCAAGCGAAAGCTACACGGTTGCCATCAGCAACCCTTAGACTGGACGGTATGGGTGCTGTCTTGATTGAAATGCTTTCAACCGACCGTTGATGCTCTTGATGTCTGATCCGTCGGGATGTTCTTCAGTCCTTGCTGGGCATTGACTTGCGTCGGCCAGCTCTCCGTGGAGAGGGAAAGAGAAAGAGAGCTGATCCTGCATTAAAAAGTTTGTATTCTTTGCCCAATTGGCCTACTTGAGGCTGTTAATACTGTTCGTACGCTTAATTCACAAAGTGCCTTAAACACACAAAACACACCTCGACTTAGATTGTCTCGAATGAATCAATGAAATTAAAGTAGACAATTTTTCTCAACAGTATCATGTATCATGAATTAATGCTAAGTCATGCATACATATATACATGCACACCCATACATACCCGTGTGTGTGCGTGCGATTTGCAATTGTGCGAGAATCAGTTTCGTTTCGTTGCCATTGCGAGGTCGTTCATATTCATCCCGAGCCATATTTTAATTATTCTCACGCTCTGGAAGGAACGCACAGATAAAATATCGAAATATCCTCCGAGTTGACCCCACCAAGACCTCCTTTCGATGACCCCCTCAGAGCCTAAACTCTCACTCTCCTACTCTCCCAATCCCACCAAAGTCCCCCACACCAACCTCCACATATTCGTCCTCGTATTTTCTCGCCCTCCAGCAGCCTCGCTCCGTCCTTGCCACCCGAAGTCAGTGTCTTTCAGGCGGCGGGAAACACCAACACATGAATGTCCATTCCTTTTGGTCTGTGTGCGCATACGCCTGCGTACGTGTAGTCATGTTGCCTCAATTCGTATGCAAAACAATTAGCCTGATTGCCTCGTTCAGCCGCAAGACCAGACGATCCCATCAGCCGGTGGACAGACCAGTCGGCCTCTTCTTCTGTGGCACCTCAAGCGCCTGTCTGTCTCCAAATGCCTCGGCCAGGTCGCATCTGCCCTAAAGATTGCTTGTGAATGCAGGAGTAAGTCTATCCACCTCTGTCCCCCCTCTCTCTATTCGCTCAAATCTTAGCGGTTTTGTACGTAGAGCCAAATCTGCAGAAGAACTAAGCCCCGGTAATCCAGTTGCTGGTATCACTGGAGCAGTCTAGGCAGAAAAGGGAAGAACAATCGGAAAACATAGGTTGGAGCTGGAGCAGAAGAAGGAAAGTCTGAGTGAAAGTTGGAGATAATGAGCTAAAGTGGGGGCAAAAAGGTTGGCTCTGGAGGATGGCTCTTAGTTTCTCTTTTTGGAGTGCCGGAGAACAAAAGCTCCCGCTCGTCGTTTGTAAAAAGCTAAGTACACCTTGCATGTGAAGAAAAAGAGGAAGAGAAGGAGCCCGCTCTACCAAACTTCGCCCAACAGAATAGTTTACCCGCTTCAAGGAGAAGGCATGGAAACTCAACCTCTTAGGCTTTTTATTTGTCAATCAATATACATTATGTGTATAGGCAACCACGGTATTAATGTTGGCAGCCTCGGTCTGAGCTCGGCTACTCCACGTATCCGGGTAGGAGTCAGGGTTGGCTCAGCTTTATCAACACTCTCATGCCTCTCTTGAGAGAAATGGAACATTTGGGTCTTATAAAAAAAAGTAATTGTTGGGGCTGAGAAAAGTCAATTGGCCTCAATCCTCTTTAGTTTGGAGGAGGTATCTATAATAATTGTATAGTTTGTTTAATCATACTACTTTAATATCAATTTAGTATAAAATAAATATGTCTATTATCTTAATCGAGATACCCTGAAGGATTAAACCATCATTGGTCATGCTAAACATGGATCAAAATGATCCGGTGTTAAGAAATTTAATGATTTATTGCTAACATTTGATGCCATGATGTGTGCACCAAGATCCAAAGGATATTAAGCCGACTGCATCTTACGTTTATTTAGCACAAGTCTTGGTCTTCATACCTACGATTAGACTACGGAAGTAAGATTGCCAAACAATGCACTAATTACAGCCGAATAAAGAAGACAATTGTAAGTCAATCCTGCCACTTGGCCTTTTTAAATTGTTGTAAACATTATGGTATCGTTCCCAGATTCTGCAATCTATAAGGAAGTGTCATTTTGACACAGTTAATGAAATAACTTCCTTGAAATTCACTTATGCCCTGTGACACAAGGGTACTCGTGGCAGTGTAGCCGAGTGGTTAGCGTGTCAAGCTTCCATCCTGCACTGTTGCGGTTCGACTCCTGCCGAGGGTGTTGATAAGACCGATGACAGGTCGAAACTGCAGTCCACCCTGGATGAGAATAACTTTTGGGAAAGCAAGGCTATGTGAAATTCAATGGAAACGTCAGCTAAACTCATATCTTTGTGGGAAAATTCTAGC